TGCTTTTTCAGTTTATCTGTTGTGGATTATATTATTATGATGATACAAATCTCGAGACTATGTCATTTCAGATGATGGATTTGAAATGACGTGAATGTAAACCATCGTGTCCTAAGGTAACGTTAAAGTTGTCCCTGTACTTAACTAATTAAGCATTACGCCATGAAGGCATATGGGGGAATGGGTGTATAGACCCATATTTGCTTGACCTCGGCATTAGTTGGTGAGTGGTTAGCTTCACGCCCCGGCAGCTTTACCCCCGAGGAAAGAGCGTCCGGTACCCATTGGAGGCTGGGTGGACCCCAGAGCCGGTCTGGACGACATGGAGAAGAGAAAATTCTTGACCCCTCCACCGTCCAGCCCATAGCCAGTCGCTATACCGACTGCGCTATCCCGGCACCCCACTGTGGCCTAAGCGAGATACGTAGATTCTGGCTAGTCAAGAATCATGTCATGTGAATTTTCTTTTCCAGTTCTACGGACTGTGTTTGTTCAAATTGAGAATTAAAAATTTACTAATGCTTTAGGAGTTTGATGTGACTCTTTGGACTGAGAATCAATTCCTCACAAAGCCTCTACCTACAGAAAACAGCAAAACGCAGATACACGACGGCGCATATCAATGTTTAGAGCGCGATTCGAATTCGTTATTCTAGTGTTCGAGCGATCCCACATTGTACCCTAGGGTTGTCAGATTTTGTAAAATAAAAAAAGGAGTGATGTCTCGTTGCTTGTTTATAACGACATTTTTCACAACTATATACATAATAACATACTACATAACTTAAAAAATGCTACTACACATCTGTATTACATAGGCCTGCTACACATTTATAGAACAAAACAAATATTACGTAGCCCTATTACATATTTATAGAATGCAGTCGAGAAATGGCCGGTGTTAATGACAGCCACCCAGCTGGAACATGCCTCAAAATCTCAGTCCACTCCAAATTCAGAAATTCAAAGAATGATTTTAACTCTTCTCTTCTTTTGGCAGAGACAGAGAAGTGATTATATGTCTTTAAGACTACACTTTCAACATCAACATCTAATCTGCCAATTGCAAACTTAATTGTGTTATGTATGAAATGATTAGAGCAATTAGCTTTCAGTAAATTTGGGTTTTACTTCACAGCAACTGATATATGGAATGTGTTTTTCCATAGTTCACATTGGCATTGTGTGCACAATAAGAAGACACATAATTTACATCCAAGTTGTGCTTTTCTAAGCTCTGCAGCACCAAACCAGTAATTGCCATAGACGTTTCCTCAGCAGTTTCAACAAAATCTAGAAGTTTATTCTGCACTCCCTTTAAAGGGTCGAAGTACCCGATGCAAACAGGGAACATTTTTCGATTGCTTCTGTTTGATGCATCGGTAGCCAACGAAAAAAAATTGAAGTATTTTCTGGACATCTTAAAATAGACACAAAGTCATTTACACTTTTAGGAGCAAGAACTTACTTCACTATCATTTCCGCTTTAGTGCGTCCACATGAAAGTTTGGAAGCAATCGTGGAATCACTGAAAATATGGGACACAAGTTTATTTCCGCAGTCCAGACTGGAATAACTTTAGTTGTGTTTCACTGCATGATACACTAAACCAAGTTCGCACGCGGTGCTGTTGTCATATCCTTCTTTATTTTTTAAATTAACAAAGTACGTGTATTTCGAAAGTTTATTTGAACTTCCAGAATTACATTTTTCACTAATTTTATGCCCCTTGTATTGTGCATGTTGCCTCAGGTCACTTTGTCCGCCGTGCGAAATACTAAAATCCTTCCTACACAACGTACAAAATGCCCGGTTTTCGTCTGGTCCCGGCTTAACCCACGAAAACATATCTTCCCATTTCTTAAGATATATTTGATTATGTTTGGCCTGGAATTTCAACTTCTTCCGTGGAGGAGCCTTTGATGGATCTTCTTCGCCCTCAAACATTTTTGCTAACTGTTGTATCCCGAAGGATAGTGATGGGAAGTACTTGTAGACCGAGCGGAAGTCTTGTTGACTGGGATCGTTGGAGCACTTAAGAATTGAAATTCAAGTCTTCGGAAGTCGGTTTTCAGGTTAATAGAATGATGTATTGAATCAAATGCTTATACAAAGTTACATTAGGAATAGTAATTATAGTCAATTGATAAATGAACAAAAGGATGTGAGTGCACCATGCACCAACGCGATAGGATTCGGCAGGTAGTGAGAGGTAGCCTCCAGGGAGGTGCTGAGTGTACTACTCGATGATGCCGCACTGAAGTTCAGTAGTAACACACAAATACGTGAAGATAGTGATTAAACTGGCGAGGAGTCCGACCGAAGTGAACAAGTCAAAAGTTTAGCGTGGTGTCCGCCGTGGCTGGCAAAGCCTGAGTTTTTAAAGGGATTCGAACCCCGAACTTGGTGCTTGGACATCCAGAGACACGCCTATTGAGGGCGTAGTCAGATTCAGGATCGACATTTGATTCGTCGTCCTTAAAGAGGAGTTTGACCATTCAGACGTATGGAGCACTGGATGGTCATAGGAATTCCAAATGAGGATTCCAATTAAAATGGTTTTTGAAATCACGAGGGGAGAACACCTGCAGGAAGTGCCCATAAGCACGTCTCTCCCCAAAAGGGTGAACCTCTTATTTTGTATTCACTCAGAATTTCGGGGTCTAGACTACCCCATACAGGAAAAGGACAACTTAGAATAAACAAGTAGGGTAGCTCGTGGTGCAGGGGACACTATCACATCTCGTAAAATAATGCGGGGGTTGAATACATATTACATAACTTGACACTGACTTTCTAGCGAAGATTGAGCGGAGTAAAAATACACTATCACCAACAACATCTGCTTTGGTTTAGAACCTCAAGTGTTGCCAACATTCACGAAATGCAACAAAACGAAAGAAATTATAACAATGCCATTTTCCAAGGATTACAGAAATTTTATGATAATATTTAACCCATGAAACATAATTTGCAATGGACTTAAATAAAAAAAACGGAGAATTATCCACTCCGGGTAAACAATAAACGAAGGAACAAAATTTCGGTGAAAAAACGGAAGAATCTGGGGAAAACGGGGTATCTGGGAACCCTATTGTACCCTACTTCATGTCCTGCTGCATAGCACATAGACTGTAGAGATGGTTAAGGAGGCTGAGATGCTGTCATGGGTCGGCGTGGAAGTGTCGCGAGGTGTGAACTGGTGCCTGCATGAAGTGGAGTCGGCAGGAATTCTGATAGGAGAGCCGTAGGCTATTTGAATAGTTGAATATGATTTATTTCATGTAGGATTTCAGTTTCTCCCAACGGAATAAGTTATGAACAGTTTTATCTTCTGGGATGCAACGCCGCATAGTCCGAAACAGGAGCTTTCATGTTAGTTTCTTGCTTGACTTACACGTCTAACCTGAAGAGAGAGGCGACATGTTCCTCCGAAACGTCGGTCAGCTTTCACTGGCTACACCGTGTTATATCCCAGAATATGAAAGAATTCTTCATGACTTATTCCGTTGAGCAAAAAATCGGTATTTCTAAGGTATGTTATTCAGCGTGGTTTTGTTAGTACTGGCTGGTTGTTTCTGTGTTGAAGACCACCAGAGATATTCAATTTTCTTTGTGTTGGTGTGTGTGAGAGAGAGAGAGAGAGACAGAGAGTAGTACTGTGTTAACTGCGAAAAGGTTATGTTTTGTGGGTCGGGGACTCTCCCCCTTGGCTCGGATTTCCCAGTCAGCTCTGCCACTCACGCCATGGTAAAGGAATTAGTATAGTATAACTTATCACTCGATCCCCTTTCAGTTGTCATTTAAAATGAGCAGTTTTTTTCGTCGACCTCGTTGGCACAGCCGAACACCTGCCATCTTATTAACCGTTTCAATTTTAGTTGCAAAGCAATTAAACGAAGTTGTATTCAGTTTATGCAGGTAAATGCTTTCCTAGTATACTGAATCCCAACAGTTGACAAACCTTATCGGAAGTAAATAACCCACGGACAAACAAAAGTTTTCTGGTCTCTGTTTTAACAAAGGTAAAGTTGGCTTCGGTGAACGGAGTTCATGGATGTAGGCCTAGGCCCACTGGGGCTGTAGTGCCAAGGAAAAAAAAATTGGCCTCGAACGGTCTAAGGCATGCACTGTCTTCGCTCGCTCGGAAGCCGGCATCGTGGGTTCGAATCCCACTTAGGGCATGGATGTTTGTGTACAGGTAGAGGCCTTGCGACGAGCTGATCACCGGTCCAAGGAGTCCTACCGAATGTGTAAGATCTAGAAAATCCGAAGTGAACGGAGAAGTTCATGGAGGTAGGCCTAGGCCCACTGGGGTTGTAGTGCCAAGGAAAGAAAAAGTTGGCCCCTGTACTTAATTAATTAAGTACCACACCATTAAGACGTATCGAGAAGTGGAGGTATAGCTCCATCGTTCTTGACCTCGCTGCTGGATGGAGGTGAGTGGTCAGTTTCACGCCCCTGCCTCTTTATTCTCAGGGACAGAGGCTCCGGTGCCCATTGGTTAGGAGGCTGGGTAGTGCTCGCAACAGCTCTGGACGCTGTACAGTAGAGAAGAATATCTTGCCCCTGCCGTCCAGCCCGTAACCCGTCGCCTGTCGCTATACCGACTGGACTATCCCGGCTCCCTCGTGTTTACTCGTATGTCGCGCCTGCTTCACTTTCAGGAGATTATTATTTTTGTTATTGCTAGTGGGGTGGGACTAACGTAAGTCCCGTGTACTGCGGCCACCGGCCCCAGATGATAGGTGAGTGTGATTGTGGAGCAATTGGTGGAATGAAGATTGGCAGGGGAAACCAAAGTACGCGGAGAAAGCCTGCCCCAGCGCCACGTTGTCCACCACAAATCCCACTTGACCAGACCCGGGATCGAACCCGGGCCGCCGCGGGGGGAAGGCAGCGTCTAACCGCTTGAGCTATGGCGCGGCCTGCGTTCAGTGGATACGCAGGTCGACACTTCGCTGGGAGAATGGCAAGCGTTTGGCTTCTCTCTTTTGCTCCACCTTCCCGTCTCTTTCATCACACTGCGTCCAGTCTCGTCTCAGTTCTCGTGTACTTTCATTTCCACGCTACACAATTACTATAGCTTGCAGAGAGCTGTAAATAAACCTACCGTCACATGCTCGTCTTCGTTACACGAATTCCTTGTTAAAACAGTAATAGATCAAACGGCTATTACTGCGTTTTAGTACTTCAGTAGAACCGCGCGTTAACATTTCAAGGGCAACAAGTGCACGCTTGGACTTACAGTTCACGTTTATACGTTTCAAGATGGAATAGCGACCCTTGTTGGCAGCGCCGGCGTTGGTGACGTGTTTGTTCATGGGCTGCAGAGTTCAGGAGCGATTCAGTTCGCTTGTAACTGCGGAAGAAGGTTGAGGTAATATTGTGTGTGACTGTGCTGAAAGGTGATCTGTACGATATTAATCAGCCTACTGCTACCTCTGGTTCGCAGAGGTTCGTGTTGTGTTGGCTCAATTTGGTACTTGTTTTCTTCCCAGCTGTGAAGTGGTTGTATAAGTGATTACGGACCAACTGTACAATACTGTGGATGCGTAAATCTGACTTTTTTAATTCAGATTTCACTTTCGATTACTAGCAAGAAAGGGTAAAATTAAACATGAGTCTTAAAGAAAGAGTGGGGAAGAGTGTAGGCTGGATTCGTTTGGCCCAGAATATGGAGCACTAGTGGGCTCCTGTGAACACGGTAAGGAACCTTCGGGTTCCGTAACGGCAAAGAGGAAGTTCTTTTGTGGCCGAGGAAGGACGATTCTGCTGCATGCAGTAGTTAGTTCATTAGCCATAACACGACGATTCACCGTACCTGGGCCTCCTCAGAATTAAGGTGACCAACGATTTTGCATCCTAATGAACCGAATAAACAGATTGGGTCGTCTAGGTGCCCTGGACCTGACGTGTGTCAAAGGATAGTGGGAGCTGGACGTAAGTGACATGGGTTTAGTTTCTCATTTATTTTTCCACAGCATTGCTCCGTGTTCGGGCCACCGCCCCTCCAACGTTGGTGGAATGCAGTGTGTTTTATCACCTCTAGGGTTTGGGTCCTGATTCGTCGATACAAAAGAAATTAAATAACCTCCCTCTCGTATTATCTTTGGCTTAAATATAATGCTCAAGTTAATTCGTGACATCACTGTGGTGATGTGATATATAGACCACATATTTTACCGTTTAGTAACGCAGTATTTCTCCCACAGAGTATATTTATTGGATTTATTTAGTTCTCGGAATATTTAACCAACTGATTTATAGTGAGGAAGTCCGACAAATGGGAAGTCAGAATCTTGAAAATGAGTGCTTTTCCATCTTCCAATTGGATTTCCGTTACATAGCACTTTGCTGCGGGGAGTAGCGTGATTTTCGATCTCTCTGATTTCTGGCCACTAGCATTTCACGGAAGAACGGACATGGAATTACAATAACCCCTCGAAATATGACCATGTCTGTACTTGTGTGGAATGCAAGTGCTTTGAAGCCTATTTTTAGAAAGAAGTTTTCTAAGTTTCAGGGTAGGGAGTATATAGTTCAGATCCAAGTACGAATAACACACGCATGAAACCAGCCTACCAGATCTTCTGCAGGTATTGCCCAAATGTGTTTCACTCAGAATGATGAATTATGTCCGAGCTGGGCGTTGCACGTCTCAAGGCCGCCGGCGTTTTATCCGCATACAGTAACACTATCCCCATTTAGACATGACGTGTTTAGATCACATACGTCATCGTTAGATACTCGAAAGATATGCTTGTTATCGATCATCATGCGTGAGGTAACAGTAATCCAGCGTTAGTTAGTCTTAAAATGATCACGTGCTGAAGAATTTTCACAAAGGTCAAAAAGAGGGCGACCGTATGAAACGGGGTTTAACTTGTATAGGGCTGCAAACACAGCAGTTTGTCATTCATTGCAGCTCGGTTTTTTTTTTACAATAAAAGCTACACTTCGTCCATATAATGCCAATATTGAGGTGGTAGGGTTATATTTATTGTTCTTGTCCACGTATTAAAGTTGTCAACGGGAGGGGCGTGGCACATCGGAGCAGTGCTACCAACCGCGCCATGTTCTCATGATGTGAAGGGGATGGGGGATGTTTGTGGTTTCTCGGAAGAGTGACGTGTTACAAACTTGACGGTCTGGATTCGATTCCTGGCAGGAGCGTTTCATCACCATTGTGTTCCATCCAGAGGTACGTGCTAGCCGTACGTGTCGTGTAGAGCAACGCTATGGGAGAATACGATGAAGACCCCACTCAGGAGGAGGACGATTTATTGGATGGTCACGGGGGAATGGGCGGGGGAGCCACGCCGGGGGATCTGTTCATCAAGACCGCGACCGGCATCAAGAGGGTGCTGCCATCTATATTCAACCTTAAAGTGGTGAGTGAGGCTGGGAGACTGCATTTCACAATCATAACAAACAACCGCAAATATTATTTTCGTATATCATAGTGTTTAGTGTTTTGGAAAGTATACATAGATGAAATTATTGGGGATCATCAATGTGGGTTTCGACGTAACAGATCAACAACAGATCAGATCTTTTGCATTTGTCAGATATTGGAGAAAAAATGGGAGTACACTGGGACAGAATATCAGCTATTTGTAGACTTCAAGAAAGCCTATGAGTCAGTTAGGAGTGAAGAATTGTACAATACTCTGATAGAGTTTGGGATACCCATGAAACTAGTTAATCTGATAAAAATGTGTTTAAAAGAAACTTAAAGTAAAGTCCGTATAGGTAAATATTTATCTGATAAATTTCCTATTCAGAATGGTCTAAGACAAGGAGATGCTTTATCGCCACATTTTTTCGGCTTTGCTTTAGAATATGCCATTTGGAAGGTCGAGGAAAACCAGGTGAGACTGAAATTAAACGGGACACATCAGCTGTTGGTCTACGCCGATGATGTGAATCTACTGGGTGATAATATAGATACCATAAAGAAAAACACACAAACTTTAATTGACGCAAGTAAAGAGGTTGGTCTAGAAGTAAACACTGAGAAAACTAAGCTTATGTTACTGTCTCGTCACCAAAATGCAGGGAAAAATCATGACATAAAGATAGGAAACAGATGTTTTGAAAATGTGGCACAGTTCAGATATTTGGGAACAACGATAACAGATCGAAACCTGATTCAGGAGGAAATTAAGAGGAGACTGAACTCGAGCAATGCTTGCTACCATTCAGTCCAGAACCTTTTGTCTTCTCGTCTGCTGTCTAAAAACATAAAAATTAGAATAAACAAAACTATAATTTTGCCCGTGGTTCTGTATGGGTATGAAACTTGGTCTCTGACATTAAGGGATGAACACTGACTGAGGGTGTTTGAGAACAGGGTGTTGAGAATATTTGGACGTAAGAGGGGTGAAGTGACAAGAGGTTGGAGAAAACTGCATAATGAGGAGCTTCATGACTTGTACTCTTCTCTAAGTATAATTAGAATCATCAAGTCAAGGAGAATGAGGTGGGCAGGTCATGTAGCATGAATGGAGGAGACGAATGCATATAGGATATTGCTGGGAGAGCCAGAAAGAAGGAGACCCCTGGGAAGTCCAAGGCATAGGTGGGTGGACAACATTCAAATGGATCTTAGAGAGATAAGATGGGGTGGTATGGATTGGATAGATCTGGCTCAGGATAGGAACCAGTGGAGGGCTCTTATGAACACAGTAAAGAACCTTCGGATTCCATAAAATGCTGGGAAATTCTGGAGTAGCTGCAGAATTGGCGGCTCCTCAAGAAGGGCTCAGTCAGCTCCATGAGTGAGTAAGGCACAGGTCTAAATGTGTGGACGCGTCACCGGTCTGCCAATAGCGTGGTTTGGTAATGAAGCTCTTCCAAGCCGAAGTTTCCGACTAATACTAATATTTGACGTGTGTCAGTGGTATGTCTAAGAGTGCTAATGAATGTTTAAAACAAGTTACTGTGCTTCTGAGAAGCGAAGAAAGTTATTTAAATTATAATAATTACGGTTTAGGCCCCAGCATTGTGACTCGAATATAGATTACTTTTAAAGAAGTGCCGTAATCGGTCGTCCTGTTTGCGAGCTGCTAAAGGCAAACCTGCCTTAAGAGTCGATGCAGCATCCGGAGTAGACCTCCGAATTGAATGCTGAGTCTTTGAATGTTCCGGCCGTTGACATCATCGAAATGAATGGAATACATTTAACATACGCCGTTGGCCCGCACCATGCCAATGACAGCTGACTACAGTGTCTGGAAATGTAGGAGCAGAAGTAATCATCTCCTGGTTCAATTATAGGTACAGGTGTTAATATGGGATATGAAATGACTCCTTGGAGCTGAGCCCTTCTTGAGAATCTGCTAGTTACGCAGCAACGCAAGAATTTCCCAACATTTTGTGGAACTCGAGCGTTCATTACCGTGTTTACAAGAGCCCCCCCCCCCACTGGTCCCTATCCCGANCGCACTCCACCGACTGTTCCACAACCATTATCATATTTCACGTGCGGATGGTACAGTAGGCCAAACAGTGGCCGTAGTACTAAGTGGACTCAGTCTCACCCCATGAAAAAATAATAAAAAATAACAATAATAATCCCCCTTTGTCAACACTGCATGGCGCGTCCTCAGGTTGCGCATGGAGAAGACGGCCATCGGATATGGAGGATAGCTTCGAATATATCGAATAAGCAGTCGCGGACAGCCGACAAGGAGTGGGATTCCAACATGGGGGTTGGGCGTGGGGCTAACAGCTCCTATCCATAAAATAATTTTGTTACGAAATGTCAAAAAAAGGCCTCCGACTTGGACGGATTCTTTGGATAAGCGGGATATAATAATTCATAGATATGGCCGAAACTCGATTCGAATTACATGCCATATCAGTTCGTTACTTTGAAACGCCCTGGTAAAGAGCATCCTCCATACCATACCTTGAGCAGCTAATATTACGGAAGAAAAGCATTATGTAAGTACGTTTGAATTTCTCATCGGCATATGAATACCGGAAGTATGTTCAAATTAGAATATAACTTCAGAATGACGAGGTAACGTCTGTGTCACCAACAGTGATGCGCCCTTGTTCCCATAGTGGGTTTATAATTGCGGCAGCGCAAATTTGTGTGGTGGGTGCGAAATTTGCGTCACTGAATGTAGAATATTAGGGTATTGCACTTTTTGTAGCAACACGCCCTTGGGAAGTAGTTGAATTGTATTTCGAAACTTTTGTAGGAAATGAATAACATTGCAACCATGCCACATTGCAGTGCCACGCGTAGAAATTGTGTCGTGATAAACGCATCTGATAATTTTCGCATTGTTTGCCGTTTTCTGTTGTGAGTTGGAAAATTGTAAAATCCGGGAGAACTTGGATTTTCAGTCACTTTCGCCTGTGGCGATTTGTTCACTGTAGGACGTGTTCTTTCTTTCACGGATTAGGCAACTGCACATACCGTTATCTGCCCTTTCCCCCCTGCATCTCTTTATTCTTCCATTCCTTCCAGCTATTTTCGGCCACCTGGCCTAATCAATTCTGGCTGCTTGATTCTTCCATATTTTACCTGTATTTAAAACTACAGGGTGGCCATTTTACTATGAAACACCGAGCGTTGCGGAGTGGACTCCGCCATCGGTCGGTATGCTGCAACATAGCCGTCTGCTCCATGGCTGTCTCGCGGTAAAGAGACCAGGCGTATTATTGGTTTTAAAGAAGGCTTTTAAATGGAAATTATACTCGTAATTTCAGGGGCAGAATTTGATATGGCTGGTAGCAGTGTGGGGTTGGTTACAAAGTTGTTACGTGTAAAATAACTATAGATATAAGAATCCAACTATGTGGTTAGGTAACGTATCCGTCAACACAACTAGAAAAATGGTATCAAAATTAAAATCAGAATCACATAGATTGAAAATACAAGACTATCCTCTTTTGTTATCACGAACATATACACTAATATACAAGTGTTGATGCAGAAAAAAACACAATAAAAGAAATCCTCAACAATAATCAAACACCAGTCATGGAAAGGCAGGAATTAGAAATTTTGTTAAATACTATCCTTGGAACATAATTACATGCAATTTAATGACCAATGATGGCCTGGCAGTGGGAGCGCCTACGTCAGCAATTTCAGCGGAAACTTTTATACAACATTTGGAATACATAAAAATTATCAAAATTCAAGATAAACACCAAATCATCGATTGTTATAGATACGTAGACGACGTATTAATTATATACAACACGAACACCACAAATATAGAAAATACCTTGACCGAGTTCAGTTCAGTACACCCAAATATAAAATTAACCATAGAGAAAGAAACACACAATACATTAAACTAATCACGCACAATCACAACAGACTATAACATTCGGCATATGTAGAAATCCTACCAATACAGACCTAATCATACATAATGATTCTTATAACACAAATTCCACCGTAAACGCAACTACAATTTATTAACTTATGTGCCATAACATAAGTTAATAAATTATAGTTGCGTTTATGGTGGAATTTGTGTTCTTAGTTATACTCACGCAAGAGGATGCAAACATTAAAAATATAATGATTCTTGTCATCCAAATGAACATAAAAGATCTGCTATAAATTATTTAATAAACCGCATGACTACGTATCCAGTTACCCACGGATATAAAATCTTGGAACTAAATACTATAAACGAAGTAACGACTATCGACAGTACACAACTAGCACAACACAAAACTAACATACCAATCCTAAAAACCTACGAAATATAACAACAAAATAGAGAAATGGTCCACGTTCACATATTGCGGCCCTGAAACTAGAATACGTTACAAATTTATTAAAAAATACGGATATCGGAATAGTCTTTAAAACTACGAACACTATAGAAAATCTCCTGAAACTAAAGAATCACATAACTGACATATAGAAATATACCAGCTGGAGAGTGTAATGTCCATTGGGCAGACCGGGACGTATGCTCAACATATACTTGAGACGGGCCACACGCATGACGCAATGAAAATATTACAAATAGAAATGAAGGGCCATTTACTTAATACTCTGGGACGTTTCCACATAGTAAGTTCAGTAACAAGAAACTGCAAATGAATGATACCTTCGCGAACTTGCACAACCCTATATTCTACTTATAATAAATAATCCCCAATATAATACGAGTATACATTCACAAAACCCTCTCCCCTACTCAAAACTCCTTCCCCATGCTAGCCCCCCTAACACGACCCACCCCCACAATTTTTTTATTGCTAATAGGGTGGGACTAAGTCCCATGTACTGCGGCCACTTCTGGCCTATTGTACCAGCCCCAGATGATAGGTGAGGGTGATTGTGGAGCAGTTGGTGGAATGAAGATTGGCAGGGGAAACCGAAGTACTCGGAGAAAACCTGCCCCAG